TATTAACTGTGTGGTCCGGAGTCACTGTGGCACGACTGGACCGTTTGAACAGCTGTTAGAACGGCCGTTCAGGTGTTCAGAGCAGAGCTCCCTGTCGGAGCGGCAAGCGTGATGTGCACTGAACGTTTTTCTTTCGCAATATTATTTAAGGAATCGTTGAGCTAGCTTTAGCCTTCGTTTTCTAATATTTTTTCATAGGCTATAAACGGAGGTGGTATAAGTATAGATATTGTGCTAGAGTAAAAGTAGAAGTACTCAGTCTTGTACTCGAGTAAAAGTAGAAGTACTCAGGTCTTACTCGAGTAAAGTAGAAGTACTCAGGTCTTGTACTCGAGTAAAAGTAGAAGTACTCAGGTCTTGTACTCGAGTAAAAGTAAGTACTCAGGTCTTGTACTTGAGTAAAAGTACTCAGATCTTGTACTTAGTAAATAGAAGTACTCAGGTCTTGTACTCGAGTAAAAGTAGAAGTACTCAGGTCTTGTACTTGAGTAAAAGTGAAGCACTCAGATCTTGTACTCGAGTAAAAGTAGAAGTACTCAGGTCTTGTACTTGAGTAAAAGTAGAAGTACTCAGGTCTGTACTTGAGTAAAAGTAGAATACTCATCTTGTACTTAGTAAAAGTAGAAGTACTCAGGTCTTGTACTCGAGTAAAAGTAGTAGTACTCAGGTCTTGTACTTGAGTAAAAGTAGAAGTACTCAGATCTTGTACTTAGTAAAAGTAGAAGTACCAGAGTGAGGAATACTCTGTCAGTAAGTCCTTAATTCAAAAATGTTCCTCAAGTAGAAAAGTATTCTCATCAAAATATAGTGAATAGCGACAGTAAAAGTAGTCTTTGTGCAGATTGGTCCATTTCAGAATAATATTAATGATATGTTTTATAATTATTGATCATGAAAGTGTTCTCAAAGCTGGTAAAGGTGCAGCTGGTTTGAATGACTGTATACTGCAGGGTAGCTTGTGGATTTACTCCAGGTGGAACTAAAGTCTGAGTTAACACTTGATTATATTTCACATCATTCATCCACATCTGTGAAGTAACTAAAGGGATTAAATATATGTAGTCGAGTAGAAGTACACCATTTACCTCTGATCTGTAGAGGAGTAAAAGTACAAAGTAGCAGAAAATTGAAATACTTCAATAAAGTCCAAGCAGCTCAAAATTGTACCCAAGTATAGTACTTGAGTTTATGAACTTAGTTACTTTACACCAGTGGCTATAAATAGAAAGACTAAGCCTTGCACAGTGGCATGACAATAAATGTTTTTATATATTTATATTAGATTTCTGTTATTATTAACTGCTTTAGTTCTGACTGCTAAAATCTTGTTATTCCTCATTTTGAAACCGATATTCCGTGGGGTCGGGGGGCTCGGATCCTTGTCACCTTTTTCATACCTGATGAGTTTGCATCCCTGATATATATTAACAGCTCATGTTTAGTTATTGTTCTTAGAAAGATGTTTATTTTGGAGGCTGCTGATTGTGATGCTGCTTTTCCTTTATATTTGCACAACCATCATTGTTACCACTCCAGACCACTAGATGGCAGTACCAGGAATGTCAGTTGCCCGCCACCAGCAGCAAACAAAGAAAGAGAAGTTTTTGAAATGTGAGTTGAGGGGGTGGGGGTTGTAAATGTGGGACATGTGATTTTTGCATTTTCTCTAAATTATAAACGTGAATAGAACAACTTTTCAATACAGTATTATATATTCTCAATTTATCTAAACTTACCGGTTGATTGTTTCTCAATTGTTGGAGTAAAATTGGTACAACTAGTGATTTTTAGTTGTCTTTCAATGTTGAAATGCAGCATTGCATCATGGGATATACCCCTGTTATATCCAAGTTAAATGTAAAGATCTTTGTCATCTTACGCACAAAAGACAGTATTTTGTGTTAAATTACCCGTAGATAATCCTCCCCTTTTTTACATGTCTTTGTTTTTGGTAGTCTCTATAATTGCAGCACCTTTATTCAGTGTATCATGTGTGTGAATGAGCTGCCTGTCTCCGATGTGTACAACTCATACTTACCTGGCAAGGGAGATATACCATGATCAAGAAGGTGGTTCACCCAGGGCGAGGCTTGGCCATTGCACACCGGTCGAGCTGACCTCTGCGAATTCCTCAAATGTGGGAATCTCGATTGCATAATTTGTGGTAGTGGGGGACTGCGTTCGCGCTCTCCCCTGATAACTTGTAAAATGAAAAAAATATTCTTAAAAGTCTGCAACCCATTTTGAGAATCAATGTAACTGTAAGAGGTTTGAAGTTGACGTGTCAGTGAAAGGCATTTTTTGGGAATCCAAATTTGAAAAAGTCTGCACTACTATTTAAAAGACTTAAGAGTGCAGTTATAGTGTTATTAATATTCACTCCCACATAGGCCTGTCACGATAATTTTTTGGACGACAAATGTTCCCGGAAATGATTGCTATAAACAATAATTTGTCGGCACCGTTGTAAGACCATTTTAGACCACTGACATAATGATAATATAAATAATAATGGAAGTACATCCTTTCAAACAAAAGTTTTTTTTGAACATTCAACATGCAAATGAAATGTGAAATAATATTCAATTATATAAATGATATACACTGACAAAAATATAAATGCTTCACTTTTGTTTTTGCTCCCATTTTTCATGAGATGAACTCAAAGATCTAAAACATTTTCTATATACACAAAATAACCATTTATCTCAAATATTGTTCACAAATCTGAAAAAATCTGTGATAGTGAGCACTTCTCCTTTGCCGAGATAATCCATCCCTCCTCACAGGTGTGGCATATCAAGATGCTGATTAGACAGCATGATTATTGCACAGGTGTGCCTTAGGCTGGCCACAATAAAAGGCCACTCTAAAAATGTTCAGCTGACTCGCTGACAGGGCTTGAATCAGAGCTTGCACACTAAAAAATGCTGGGTTAAAAACAACCCCATTTGGGTCGTTTTTTTAACCCAACACCAGGATCAATATTGGACCAACCCAGCAGTAGTTAATTTGACCCAACGAAATGGGTTGTCAGGGTTTCCCACACATAGACTATACCTGGGCGGGCCGCCCAGGTATATTAACGGCCGCCCAAGTATATTTCGCGACCCATTTAGTTATTTATTTATAAAAAAAATTTTTAATGTTTTTTTTTTTTTTATTCCTCCGTGACCACGACGCCATCTGCGATCGATTATTTGTAGACAATGATCCCTCGCTCCCTTGCTCTGATCTCGCCTCCTTCTGGCCTGTTAAGTGGCTGTCCACATGATGTGGCCTGCCGACATGGCCACTGTCATACAGATCATAAATCAAAGCCCTTGATTGGTCTCTGTGTGTCATTCAAGCTCGGGATAACCTCAGCTCAGGTGAGGTAAAGGACTCTCTGAGTGTTTAGATAGTTAACTTAGTCTAAGTTCTCAGTGGGTCTCAAACGGTGTGGTCACCATTTATGTAAACACATATTTCCATTTGAGAGGGTAGTGATTGGTCTAATGGAGTGAGGTGGGCTGAAGATCGGAAGGCTGTGAGTTCAAATCCCGCCAGGAACACCACCACTAGTGTGCCCTTGAGTAAGGCACTTAGCCCTTAGTTACTCCAGGGAGAATGTCCCTGTAATCGGTCATTATAAGTCGCTTTGGATAAAACGTCAGCTAAATGAAATGTAATGTGATTAGTAAAATATGCATGAATAAATAAATAAAAAGTTAACTAGGTGAAAAAAGGTAAGATACACTTTTAAACTTGTTGAGAGAAACTAGTCTTTGCTGCTGCCTCAAAGAGGAGGGGGGAGGGAGGGAGACAGGAGAGGCGATTCAGGAGCACAGACACACTCCCAACTATAAATTAATAAGTTTCAGTGTTTTTTTCATATTGGAAATGGGATGTTGTTGGTTATGGCCTTGATTTTATGATTATTGAAATGTATACAGTTCTGTTTAATATAGGTGTTTCCATAGATCTAGTCTCTTTATTTTCCCCTCAAAATGCACCAGATTGATGCATTTAACTCCAAAATAAAAAATAAAATCTTACCGGGGGGGCATGCCCCTGGACCCCCCTAGAGGATTTGAGGTCGACCCCCACTAAAAATCACATGGATAGGTTCCTAAATACATTAATAAATACATTAATTTTTTAAAATAGTAACCCATTTCCATATGTTCATGTGTGGGTAGTAGATTTAAACTATAGGGCTATCATTATGGACCCTGCCTGTACCTGTACCTGTTCGCTCTGCATCGCGTGAAGGGTCTGCTAACAAGCGACCAACAGAAAGGTTAATGTTGTTGCACGTCACCTCAACCCCCCCCGCTACCACCACCCCCCCCAAAGTATATTTCAGATCTGTGGGAAACACTGGCAGTTAATGGACCAGCACCAGAGGCATTCCCATACACACAGGCGTTGGAGCTGTTCTTCATGAAATCCCAGAAGGATGAAGTGCTCTGACAAACAGTGCCATCTTTGCGCAAAATGATTATACCGGAATGAAAAGTCAATAAATAATGTTGTTAAAACTTCTTTTTTTTTCGCGCAACCCCCCGCCCCCCCCCCCTTGCCACCACCCGCCCAAGTATATTTCATATCTGTGGGGAACACTGGGTTGTGTATTTTAACCCAGGAGATGGGTTATACATTTAATCCAAATGCTGGGTCAATTAATTACAGCCCTGGGTAAATTCATTAGAACAAACACATCCTAACAGCATCCTAGCAGATCTACAAGTTCATAGCACGTCACTTTGTGCCACGCTATGAACTTGTAGATCTGCCATTTCTAAATCTCAAAATCTTTGCTTCTGGTAGCAAGATGAGTTTTTTCAGAAAACTGTTAGATTTAAAAGACATTTGTAGAATCGGGTACTCCCAAAAAGGCTTGATATTCCCAATAAGGGTATCCCACCCACACCACAGATTCCCTTTGTTTCCTTACATCGGCAATTAATAAAAATGTGCATCTAGTACTCGCCCTAACCAAAGCAGCATCTAAAGGGCATGTTTGTGTCAGACAAATTTGTCACCAACCATGATGAAAAACAGCAAATATGCCAGCCAGCATAGCAAATTACTGGTTCATATACTGGCTATGTAAACGTTACAAGAAAATCCTCCAACATGATCACAAAAATGTACTGCTCCTTTAGGTGATCCGAACTACAGGAAACTAAGATGTGCAAATAAACATTTTAACAATTTATGCTTCCCCATTTAGCTCTTTTAACTCAGCACACAACTTGGTTATAAAATACTTTGAGCATGAGGTAGTATTTTGAACATCACACACACACACTTCACAAATCCAACACCATTCGATTTGACCAGATATAATATAACTCTACTCTGAGCCAAAGAGCAGCAGAAGAAAGAGGAAAGAAAAGGATCAAGTCCACAATATAGTATTATGAACATGAACACACTTCAGAAATCCAGCAATATTTGATTTAACCAGATAGAACCCTACTCTGAGCCAAGCAGCAGAAGAGAGAGAATAGAACAGGAGGACCAGCAGCAGAAAAGAAAAGGATCAAGACCACAAGTCTACTTGCAAGAAAGTATTGCTGCATGCAAGGACGTAGCAGGTTTTGACTCCTCTCCTCCCTTGATTTCGTACACTGCATTTGAGGAATTTCCATACAGCTTCACACTGCTTTGTGTAGTCGATGTCAAATATATAGAATACCTTGAAACAGACATCTACTGCCTGAAGCAATGTGTTTTGTTCCAACGCCTCCCCATCAAGAATAACGAACGCCTGAGAGGTGTGCCAAATATCGTTTCCCAGGGACAGGACATATGGGTAAGGTCTTGACACCTTCGCCTCATGGAGTATCCACCAAGTTTGTTCCAACCTGAGAAAGAAATAAAGAACAAAGATAAATCAAACAAAGTAAAAGATTGTGGAAAAGCAAAGAGTAAGCAAGATTTGTTAGTGGCTGATACAATGCATATTCAGAAACAATGTTCTGAATTATTCTTGAGCCCAGGAATAACAGGCAGTCAGGCACATTCTTAACCACTTAAACTGGACCTGGGTTGGCTCTGTACTTTAGACCACTGTTTTCCATCTTCGCCAAAAATAGCCAATCTAGCTGCCATTTTTGGCTAATGTCCCCGCCACCCCCAAGAATATGGATGCTGGGTTCAAGTGATTAAAAGAATAACATTTCCCTTAGATATGCAGAGGGACTTACAGGCTTATGATCGATGAAGGCCAACTTAGACTCCTCGATAGTGTACCGGAACACTTTTCGGCCAACCCTGTAGACAGTTGGTGGAAGCAGTGTTGGTAACTGGCTCAGAGCAAGTTCCCCCAAACAATCTGTAGGAAGACAATTTTATAGGTATCAATATGTGGCATGGCATATCTGTGAATTGGTCATTTAGTAGCAAAATAAAGTCTGCTGTACAATATAACAATGTATTACCGGGTGTTAATCCATCAAGCGACGAGATAAGTTTCCCTTCCCGTCTCGCCAGGTGCAGGATCTTGTCTTTAAACAAAGGTAGCCAGGTTTCGAAGAGCTTAGGCGCAGCCTCTCCATGTAGGATCTGAAAGTCCTGTGCAATCTAAATGAAAAAAAGAAAATTCAATGTGGCAGCTGACATACTGATAAAAGATTGTTATAAACAATGCATCCACATCATATGTAAACATATACTCCTTCCTAACTTACCATGCCTGGAGTGAATAGATGTGGGAACTCTTGGCGGATCCCCTGAATGTCCCACCCATTTTCCCTAAAAGACTTGGCCCTGTTTGATAGTTTGCAGAAAGTACAGCAGTACAAGAATGTTAAAAGGATAACACAAAAAGCCCTAAGGGCAGTTGCAGACAGGTGCTCTTTTATGGCAGCAGTTGCAGACAGGTGCTCTTTTATGGCAGCAGTTGCAGACAGGTGCTCTTGTATGGCAGTTTTGGAGGGTAAGGAGTTGCACTTTCTTGATGGCTGTGGTAGGGTGTTCCACATTTTGGTAGCATAATAGTCAAATGAGAGGTCTAGTAGTAGTTTGTTTTGAGAAGTCTGTAGTTCAGATTTGAATGACTTGATGTGCTACAGTACCATGAGGTGCATGCATAGGCAAAATGACATTGAATGAGTGCTGCAGCTAGTGTCCTCAGTGCATTCCTACTGACCTGTACACTGCTGTATCCTGCATGTATTGCTCCACCTGGTTTAGGGGCTGCGAAT